GTTTCTAGAACTAATTCAGGAACTTAACCAGATGAGACTTATTACATTTTATATAGTTTGGTTTTGTTTAGTGACATGGGTTATTCATCAAATCAGAGTCATCGAGGATGATAACGCCACACTATGTAGCAACTTAGTGGTTTTTTTTACCTGTAGAGGCAAATCTCAGTTCATAAATTATGAGAATAGGTAGGTTTTTTAAAAATTAAGAGAATAGACAAGTTGTGTAGGTTACATTGTGAATAAAACTAAACTGTAACGACTTTAACTGTCAGATGACAGTCTGTTCATTCTATTCTCTGTTATATGTTGTACATATGTACGTTGTTGTTAGTGAGAAAAGTTTATACTCGTTTTCTCTACTTCCAGTCTTTCGTACTCTACATTCTTCCCTGTTACTTTTCCTCAAACACATAGCAGTGTTAACAGTGGTATCAAGAGCAAGGTTCAGAAACCTGGTGGTTAAGCTCAAGACGATCAATAAGAGATGGTTGGTGTGATTCATAGCAATATACCTGTATTTGACGGCAAGGGGTTCGATGATTGGTGCGTAAAGATGGACGTGATTCTCGGCTTCTAAGAAGTGGATGAGATAGTCAAGAAAGACTTCAAAGACCATTGAAGGGAGAATCAGAAGAAGCAAAGAGACAACACAATGAGAATAAAAGGTTGAACTGCAAGGCTCGAATGTTGTTGCACTAGTGTGTGTCGACTGCTATCTTCCAAGAAGTCTCGAAAGCTGTTATGACGAAGGAGGTTTGGGATATCCTGTAATAAGGATATGGCAATTATGGAAAAGTCAAGAAGATCATATTGCAATCTCTTCAGAGATAGTATGAACTCCTAGGCATGGGAGTGCAAGAATCAGTCGTTGAGTACATTGGAAGGATCCAAGTAGTGGTGAACGCCATGAGACCCTGTGACAAGGTCGTGAAAGATAAGAAAATTGTGGAGAAAATACTCAGAACGTTAACCCCACAGTATGACCATATAATTGTGGCCATAGAAGAATGTAAAGATCTTGAGAATATGAGAGTTGAGGAATTACAGAATTCTTTGAAGGCGCATGAGCAAAGGTTGGTTGAAAGGAGAAATGCCGAAAAGGTGCTTGTTCAAGGCACAATTCAAGCTTTGCAAGCCAGAAATAATCAAAGCTACAAGGGTCGTGGAGCTGGAAGAGGTAGAGGCCGATCACAAGGGGGACGATCGGGAGGCAGAAATACAAATGCTTATGATCAATTTGTTGAAGAAAATGGCAGCGAGCATAGAGGAGGAAACAAGAGAGGTGGAAGATAGTCGAGAGGAAGAAGAAGAAAGAACTTTGATAAAAAGAACATTCAGTGCTATACCTGCATCAAATATGGGCATTATTCGTCATAATGCTGGCACAATGAAGCCGCGAAGAAGATCAAGAATGATGAGGCGGCGAATCTTGCTCAAGATGCATGCGATTCAAAGTCTGATCATGTTCTTTTAATGAGCACAACCGAATGGTTGTTGTCTTTTAATCGAACGGGTGTCGATGAAGAAAACGAACGACTGTCTTCTAAATACCAAACAGGTGTTAACAAACAAACGGGTGTCAACAAACGAACGGGTGTTGACAAATGAACGGGTGTTAACAATCGAACGGATGTTGATAAAGGAACCGGACGACTATTGTCTTTAGACCGAATAGGAGTCGATGAGGAAACCGGACGACTGTTATTGTTCAACCGAATGAGAGTTAATAAAGAAACAGAACGGTCGTTGCTATCAAGTGAAAATGGGAACTATGCACTGGACAGGTGTGAAAAAGCTTTAGATCACGTGTTGCTTTCCAGTGAGATAAGCCATGCAGAAGATGAAACGAGTTGGTACTTTGACACATGGTGTTCCAATCACATGACGGGTAAGAAAGATTGGTTGATCGATCTAGATACGAGTGTAAAGAGTAGTGTAAGATTTGCAGATAATAGTGTGATCATGGCAGAAGGTGCAGGCAAGGTCCTGATCACACGCAGAGATGGCAAATCCGCATACGTAAACAATGCGTTGTATGTACTGTCAATGAAGAGTAACTTGCTTAGCTTAGGACATCTACTTGAGAAAGGCTATACAATGTTGATGCAGCAAAGGCACATAGAAGTGTTTGATGAAAGACAACGTCTAGTGATCAAGGCTCCTCTTGCCAGAAACCGAACGTTCAAGGTGAATCTAAATGTCGTCAACGTTTAGTGTTTTGCTGTTGTCAACACTGAGGATGAAGGATGGTTATGACATTATAGATTCGGACATTTGAATTTTAAAAGCTTGGGTCAGTTGAAAAGCAAAGGACTGGTGAAGGGAGTTCCTCTAATCATTGCACCGAATAAGGTTTGTGAAGGTTGTGCAGTTGGGAAACAAGCCAGGAAGAAGTTTAAAAGATTCGCCCCCAAGAGAGCAAAACAAATGTTGGATGTTGTGCATTCAAACGTGTGCGGTCCTTTTGACGTGTCATCCCTCGGAGGTAACAGATACTTTTTAATTTTTGTAGATGAATGGTCTAGAAAAATTTGGGTTTATCTGTTAAAAGAAAAGAAAGAAGTATATACTTACTTTGTGAAATTTTGCTCTATGGTGGAGAGGCAATCTGTCCAACAAATCAAAACCTTCAGGACTGACGGTGGAGGTGAATTTAACTCTGGTGAAATGGGTAGATTCTGTGATGACAAA